ATTTTCCGCAAAAAAAAATGACAGGCAACAGTTAGGAAGGTAAAGCACTGACAGTTAAAGGAAAGGCCTATTAACTGGTTTTTGGTGTGTGTCCCTCTGCTGGATATCCTTCCAGGTTTGACATGATTAGGCCTCTATAAAGTGTTGCGTGGCAGCAATTTGGCAGTACATTACTGAGCTTGCTGTAGTGTTTTAAAGTTATATAATAGTGCAATATTTCCTATGTAACAGGTAATTTCATCTCGAGCAGCGGCTGCTATATCCAGCCCATAATACAGCAGTCTAAAATCTCGGCTGACATTTGTTTAAATAAAAGATTGGTCTCATAAGTTCGTCACACGGTGGGGTTTGATGGACGATGGGCAAAACCCGCATGTGGAGAGGGCCCCCATCCACAAGAACACCAGCAACCCCAGCGAAGAGCCTGGCCACTTTACACATTTGTCCTGGCTTGCATGACGACCACACTTTCCCAACTCACTGATCTCCATGGTCATGAAGCGTTCTGGAGAGCTGGACTGTGATGAGTGTGGTGATGGGATTTGGAGGGGTTTTTTCATGTCATCTTCAAAACATGGGTCAAGCCCTATTGAAGGTTGTTGTGATTATGCTCGCTGAGGACGTGGCTTGTATGAAGACCCATTGATACAAATTCACTGTACTGCATGCGCTCTGAAAGATATCAAAATACAGCATTCATGAAAATTATACAACCGCTTTCAGAGGCATGAATGGGACAAACAATGATTGTGTGCTGCCTCGTTAGTGGTGGTGAATCTTAATGCTGTTTATAGTTGTGAATTATAAGTAAAAGTTACAGCTTTGTCCAGAGAAGCTGCTCCGGCTGCAGATTGTTGTATTTTGCCACATGCACCCTTTGAGTTGTATTGTCGTGCTCGTATATAACGTACTGGCAGGTCGGAAACGTCGAGGAATCTGTCTATGGGATGGATGCAATTTACAGTCTGATTGCAACCGAGTAACGCAAAATTGGAAACTCTTTTTCAAAGTGCACCTGCTGTCTCGCTTTGATCAAGCACGTACAGCCACTAACACAACCTGTGTGCATTCACGTTGCTTTCTCATTGGACACCGTTACCAGCATGAACCAATTTAGCAGCACATGCATTTATATACAGACAAATACTTTGGCATGATAGGAATGTGGACCTTGACTTGTACGTTTAAGTGCAACGTTGTGTTGCAAAAAATATATATAACTAGTTGTGTTCAGACTTTTCACTTCGTGTAAGTGTTATTATCTTCTGGTCGTGTGGTCAGTTGTGTTGTATTTGTTTAAAAGTTGTAATGTCATTGCGGTTCCAATGGAACTGCGCTACACTCATGTGCATATGTTCACAGAACACGTGGATACAATCACAATCGGAAACTTAGACAACAACACTCTCGCATGTAACAAATCAGCGCGCATCTATGATTATAGCCTTTCCTTCCAAAAAAAAAGCTTCTAAATGCTGCATTTGAATTTTCACAGAGCAGAAAGTTGTAAAATGTTACACTTGGCATATTCAACCGGGGGAAGAATGAGTGTGCATACGTAATTAGATGACTAGGAGCTAAAGTATCCCATCTGTCTTGAAAAATGCAACTGTGTACAAGGTCACATTTGATAAAAGCCACTCTGCATTGGTAATGCACACAAGAAAACACGAATTTGGCCCCACGATGTGATTAAGCCTTGGCACCAGGCCGTATGCAATTGCTGTCTTGTGGCTCCTTAGTCAAGCATCCGTGGAGCCACGGTAATACAGAGTAGTGGCTATTGCAAATTAAACCACGCACTTTCGGTTGGTTTTTATGTTAAGTGTAATTGGCATTAAATATGACCCAATTTACTATTTAATGGGTCAGCTGAAGAGCATAGATTTAATAAAAAAAAAAGTGGACACGTTTTACAGTTTATTTACACAGTAATACATTAAGAACTAATTTTTACAGATTTGTTACGTAAACAAACGACTTCATAAACCGTATTAAATGCATCTGCTCCTATAAGTAATCAATTGTATGTTTTAATTCAAGGTGAGCCCTAAATCCTGCGCTCACGCGGGTCTGCAGCTACAGCAATAGTAACTTCTCACCAGCTCGGAAATGCAAAAGAGAAGAATGACCATTGCTCAAGGGATCTCTGGGCCGATGCATTCCATAGTCCTGCGTTCGGAAATTGCTCAAGCATCTTGTCGGATAACTTGTAGTTGAGAATTACAGTACAGTATATGCATAAATATAAAATTTGTGCAGATAAAAATGCGCAATTTTCAAATGTATTTTATGGCAAATGTTGTGTGGGGGAGAGGGGTGCATCTTGTAATCCAGTGGGTGTGAGTGAAACCATACTTTGGAACTCTATTGACTCCAGGCACAAGTTTGGGGTATGTCTCAACTTCCGGAGCATTTTACAATCTGGAGAATACAGTGTGTGTGTATATATAATACATAACATGCAGCGATTTAAAATGACAGTTCTAATTTCTGAAGAAATCTGTCCTTGACTCAGACTTGCCCTTCCCTATATGTCTCATTGACTGCAACCGCAAACTCTCTGAATAGAAAAAGTTCTAAAAAGATTCCGCACTCATTCATTCGCTGCACGGTGTCCTGCCCTTTATCCCGAGATACCAATTCCCAAGATTATACCTCACTTCGTAGAAGGCAAGGTGGGTAATGTGGCCGAGTGGTAGCACATTTTCTGATTATTGCAGAGGTCTGTGGTTCAAGTCCAGAAGCTGCCCTTGGTTAATATTGTGGTAGTATTTACCAAAAATATGCACCGGCTGCTTCGTTGCGGATATTAAATATCCCCTGATGTCATTCGAAAAAGAATAGGCCATGTGTGCCAGCGTTGTGATCCAAGTGTGAAAAATTACTTAATTTGGTCAAACCGCAGAGCAACATTGTATCATATTGGCCGACTTTACTCGTCTGTGAAATATAGTGCCTCTTTCCACTTTATCAAGTGTGAATTATAAAATGTACTAAATTACTGTAAATTATAGCAACATTGTATCATATTGGCCGACTTTACTTGTCTGTGAAATATAGTGCCTCCGAAATAACCTTGCACTTTAAGAAGTGTGAATTATAAAATGTACTCAATTATTCTAAATTATCTACGTGCGTTAGGGGTAAAAAAAAAAAACGCAGACAAAATGAGTTTCAAAATAAGCTTATTCCGTGCAGGATTTCTGTTAACATATCGGTACATGGAGTAGTGCATTGCAATCGCATTGATATCGTTGTTGAGAGATGTATATTAATGTTCTATTTCACGTTATATCATCGTCCTTCCACCAATCATTCCTAGAACTCGCCCACAGCCATTCCAGCAACTTTCTATTTAAAGCTTTCGTGACTGCAGGGATTCATCTTCTTGGTTCTTTCGGTAAAGTCACGTAGAAGGGAAGTAATAAAATAATAAAAATAAAACATAATAAAATAAGTGTGGTGTTGTTTCATTCAGACGCTGTCTCCCCGACAGACCTGGTCTTCACCTGAGGACGGCTGCTTGCATTGTGGCCGAAACGCCGTGAGAATTATTTTATTATGTTTTATTTTTGTTATTTTATTATTATTTCCATTCTACGTGACTTTACCGAAAGAACCAAGAATTCCAGCAACTGCCACGAGGTCCCTCACAGGGGCCCCTCCCATACTCTCAGAGTGGCCTCGCTCCGCCCCGACCACGCCCCCTTTCTGCCCTGACCACGCCCCCTTTCCGCCCTGACCACGCCCCTTTCCGCCCCGATCACGCCCCCTTTCTGCCCGGCCACGCCCCCTTTCCGTCCCAGCCACGCCCCCTCTCCACCCCGATCACGCCCCCTTTCCGCCCCGACCACGCCCCCTTTCCACCCCGGCCACGCCCCCTCTACACCCAGACCACGCCCCCTTTCTGGAACCTACTAGCGGATTTCCGAGGCTTCCCGATGGACCCCCCTCCTCTGTGACCTTTGCCCTAGATGTCCCGCTCTCGTGTCTATCCTGGCCTGCTGACTTCAATACTGCCGTACACCGCAGTTCCCCTTCATCGCCAGCAGCCAGCACTATGCCACTACACATTTATATATAAAAAAAAATCACACCAGCAATTCAATGTTATATAAAAGCAGATAAAGGTGCAGCCCTCTCATGTATTGCTCATGCTACTGCTGGCAGAAGTGGCTTCCACAAGCCGGAGTTCTGAAGAGAGTTTATGGCCTACTCTGCGATGCTGTCCATAGCTCTTGGAAGAGGAGGTAGTATCCTCGATTTACCTTAGCACACGTGACCTGGCAACCGACGTAACTGTGGTATACCCATTCATGCTGCTGGGTGGACAGAGGAGTTTTAAGAAACTTGCACGATGGTTTCAACTTCCGTGCGGGGAGATATAACTGACGACCTCTGTTTGGATTGCAAGTTGGGTGTGCTAACCATTACACCACAGCAGCATCTAATGTTATATTAATATACAAATGGAAAACATCAATATAGAAACAGGACATACTAACTTTCAAGGTTTTACTGACCTTAAATTACAAATATCTTTATTGTAATAGTTTTGTTACCCTACCTTGAGCGTTATAGTTTTTAATATCACTATTGTTTTGCATTTATATAATTACAGCATTTAATCTAAATACATTTGGCGACTCTAATTTAATAGTAAAGAAATTATCTGCATCAACGATAAATTAGAAAAACACTTAAAAAACAACTATTGTCTTTATAAATGTATAATTCCGGAAACAACCTATCTCCTTGAGTTATATTCGGTTGTGTTGAATAATTTGCGTCATAATCAACGTTTTTGGGTTTAGATCGCGTTATTTATAAATGTGTCGTAACCCTCCACCACCCGGAGGGTTACGGCACATTTATAAATAACGCGATCTAAACCCAAAAACGTTGATTATGAATAATATTGGTCGCGAAAGCCTGCTACGTGTTAAAATAATTTGCGTGCTGGCTTACCGATAATTATTTTGTTGTTTCTCTTTCAGGAAGCTGCTGTGTTTGGGTAATTGAGTTTTTCATCGCTCCGAGGAAACTGTTATTTGGCCAAGGACGCGTGCCAGGAGGGAGTTGGATTGTGTTTTCATGGCACTCTTGCCTTGTCTGATGGAATTTGAGTCACAGTTGGCAATGTTGCCATTCTGAATGGCCATTGCGAAACCCATCTCACAGAGGAAAAGCGAAGAAAGAATGGACATTCTTCTCAACTCTGCTGCAAGTCATCTTTACGTTTGCTGACACTTGAAAGCAACTCCTCAACCGTCCAGATGTGTGCATCTTTCAAATAATGCAATACACACGGAAAGATTGCTGCGAAATACAGCACCCTCTGAATTTATAACATCTAAAACACTTACAGTTGTATATTGCTGAATCTTCTACAAATAAAAACCATTCATCAACAACCTTATGTACAGGCCTCAGGAATAAATTGTCTTAAACCACGGAGGATTACGCCTGTATAGTTGACATCCCTTCATTTTGTCTGCAGAGGAGGTACAACAGACCTTGGGACAAAAGTATTGACATGAATAAGCTGGTTTTTAAAGTTTGCAACTTTGAAACATTTTCCTTCAGATGACGACTTCAATCAGAATCGACTGGATCAGTTTTCCTACCCTGGATGATTCATGAGGGACGTTTCTGTGCTTTCTATTGTTGACTGGCATTTCTGTGTTTTTACTTTTGGAGAAAGCAAAGCCCTTTGGGAGTTAAAAAAAACATAATTTTGAAAAGTGGGAAACTGCATCTGCTTTGTAAAGTTTGCAATACATCTAGCATGACGATTAGGTGTACCGTGTGCAACATTTTTCTTTACGTTATCAAGTCAGAATTAAATTTTCCATTTGTTATTTATTTGATGGTTTAGATAGATAAAAGGAACATTTTCATTTCAGAAAAAAATCCCATCCCACTGGAAACGCGGAGAAAGAGAAGTCGGAGCAATGAAACGCATGATGAGGATTCAAAAAACGTCATTCGTTATTCTCGAGCACAGGCGTACTGCTTCGTGGCGTGGAAGAATATCTCTCCTGCGTCTGATTTCCATTTCCCTGCTCGCACTGTGGCCTTCAGGCGCATCTGTACACGCACAGGTGTCATTCAGCAGTCCGTACCAGTGGCAAAAAGGTACGTACGCTGGTTGGCAACGTGCACTCCTGCACCGTCACGACTCCTGTATTGTTACGCTCTGACAGGTGAACACATCACTGTTTTCATTTGTGTTCCGATTTCCATTGCTGCACCTGCAAGAATGCCTTCTATAGTCCTTGTGAACAATTATGTCCAGTTGGAGAGTTCCATGTGGCTTTGTCAGAGTCCTTGACATTTCGACCTCCGTAGTAAACTGAAGAGTGATTCTTTTTTCTCTTGCAAGAGCATATTTTTTATGACCATGAAATTGTGGTAAAGATTGTTTAAAAAAAATTTTCGATAGAAAATATTATATAAACAAATATAACTAGTCAACGCATAATCAAAACCGTGTGTGAAACCATCCTCAATGTTTTGTTTGGGGATGTAGGGAGAATACAATCAGCTGGTAAAGTGTTTAAAATTCAGTGCAATTAAGATGTTGCTTCGAAATTCTGTGTCTGCATGCTAATCTTTAAATGTGCAAATCAGTGTCGGGCTAGGAATGTGCAGAGTTGATTGAAGTATTGCGACCTTACGTGTTCATTTTTTTAAAAACAACTATCACCATGGCTGATGGTGACATTCATGGGTTGAATAGGGAATTGAATGAGTTTGGAAAATCCTATACCTTTTAACATTCTTTTCTAGTTTCCCTCGAGTAATGCCTGTGCCATTGTATACTGCACTTCGTCAATGTGGATTTTTTTTCTTTAGCTGCTACAATTTAAAATATTGCCTGTGTTGACTGTTTCCTCAAACGCATCAAAATAGTATTTCTTGGCTGTTGGAGTAAAATGCGCTTCTAGACACTGATAATGAATGATGAATGAAGATGGATTGCTGGTTTTGATGTTTCAGCCTTTCGGTGTGTTCATTAAAAAAACACCAAAAACCTTGATAAATCAATTGTGGTTATAGCACCGCTAATTGGAAGCATTTATTAAGGTTCTTGTCACCCCACAGACTATAAGAAATGAGTTATGACTTAGCTCTGAGAGCACTGCCATCATGCTGGGAACTAATCATAATGCATAATTCCCCTAACATTTCCACATTATACAGCACAGCATTAAAATCAAAAAAGAAACTCGTGCTTGAAAACTTGAAAAAAAAATTACGGAGCAAACGGGCGAGAAGCTATTCACGATGCCTTTTCCAAAATTACAGTGTGGAAAAGTGGTGTTAAACAAAACAAAAAGAGAAAAAACCGTGCAGGCGAACGCACAAGCGCTCGCGTACATCAGCTCAGTGGACGGTAACCCTTTGTCGCCCGTGGCAGCGGATTGCATTGCCGTGAAATGCATTCACCTTCTCGCTGGGAAATTGCCTTGGAGCGTGTGTTCGTGAGATAAACTCATCGCAGCCGCTCGACACTTTGCAACGGCCCCGCGTGCCGCAGCCACAGTTTAGAAAAACGCTTTGGGAAAATAAAACAAAATTAGATAAGCAAGTGAAGGTAGCAGCTCCTAATCGCACAACGCGACGTCAGCCTTTTGAGGAAGAGGCCTAGAACTTGGTTAAGTACTCTTAGGTTTTTTTCGGTAAAGTCACGTAGGTAAAAAATTAAATTAAAATTAATAAAAGTAAATTAAAATAAAATTAAAATCACGACGTTTCGGAGGCAACACAAGCTTCCGTCTTCAGGTGGAACCGTCACAGCACGATTTATTTTTTACCTACGTGACTTTACCGGAAAAAACCTAAGCGTATGAATCCTTGCAGTCACGAAAGCTTCAAATCTAGAATGAACTTGGTTAAGCACAGGTGCTGTGCATGCCGTGGATGGGAATGCACGTGCGGTAATCTGACACTCTCTCGCAGAGATTCTTTGCCCGTCTTTCTCTGTAGCCTCAAGTCAAGGGGGAATCGAGAAGACTTGTGGTTGTTAGAAATAAATAAGTAAATAACGCCGCCAAACGTCTGTTTCTTTGCACCTGAACGTCTTTGTGGCGTTGCACCGATGGACCCAGAGCAAGCGTCGGTATTGACGAGGGGAGACGGATAAGGAGAACTGCACGGGGACTTATAAGGAAACAGATTACGGGCTCTGACGCTATTATGGAGGTTTAATGGATTTTTATTTTAATTAGCCATCAGCAAATGTTAAAAGACGAGTTCATTTTGGATATAATTAAACTTTACAACTCTCGGGAAAGAAAGTACAGCATTAGAAACAGCTTATTTTTTTCTTCTTGGTTCTTTCGGTAAAGTCACGTAGAATGGAAATAATAAAATAATAAAAATAAAACATAATAAAATAATTCTCGCGACGTTTCGACCAAAACGCAAGCAGCCGTCCTCAGGTGGAGAACAGGTCTGTCGAGAAGACATAGTCTGAATGACACATCCCAGGCTTGGAGCGTCTATTTCAGCTGGGATGGAGGGGGGAAGAGCGCCTTGACAAAATAATTTGCATATCAAGAGGAATTTAGCATATTTATGGGAAATGCAGATATGTGATTAGTACTACTTGTGAAATGCGTAGGAGGTTTGGCGGGGGGTTTAAAGTCATATTATGCCCGTGCATTATGCAGGATTAGCAGCATCAAAGGGAGGGGATTAATAAAGGGAAGGAATGTTAATAGTATGTAGCTGCAGTAACTAAACCACCACGTAAACAACTAAAGTATAAACTACATAGTATCATCAGTATACTAAATATACTCTCCAATAAGCTGAGCTACTAACAGTAAGTAATACATTACAATTCTATGTCGCAAAAAATATAATATGCTTCCAGCTAAACTTTATTCTCTTACATCACACGGGTCTACACCGTATTTATAGTAAGATGAATCCCTGCAGTCACGAAAGCTTTAAATCGAAGGTTATTTTTTTGCATGTTACATAAGTGTAAACAAATAAACAGGCATTCAATGTATTCAAAAGCTACGGAAGATGTCCAGAAACTTAAGCCACCCTTGATTGAAGCATTTGGCTTTGTCAGGGGGCTGCTGTGATCGTAAGTGCGCACGAGAATTTCCGTGACATTTGTCTTCCAGATCAACCTTTGTGTGTAAGCAGCAGAGGCTGCAGTTGTGGTGTGCAAAGCCACGTGTACAAGCCCACTGAAATGCTACCACATCGATGCCGGGAGTGGAGTTATATTCGTAGGTTAACTTGGGGTTAAGCACGGTCAGATTTCACAACAACCACTGGACTTTCAAAAAGTCCACAACGATCCGCATGCGAGCCTCGGGAGAAGATTTCAAGGAGCCTCAATCACTGTTAGAAATTGTGCTGTTTGCTTTATTCGCTGCTGTTTATATTCCGTACAGGCCTGCCACAGAGGCCGTGGGGGAGTGCGTGACAAATGTGCAAATACACTCTTAACAGGTGCAACCTTTTCTCCTTTTACCGTGGAAAATGAAAGTGTGCTCACTCGTTCCTTGTCGTAAAAATATGCGACGAGGATGGAAGGTACATGAATGTGGAGAAACCCGAGGGAATGACCGCCAGTTTTTAGATTATTTGACAACATTAGCATGCTGTCATTTTTTATAATATCATGGTAAAAGGACGTTTTTTTACGAGAGCTTTCAAACCCAGGCCTTTGATGTCAGTGTAGATAGTCATAACAATCGGTTTTTATGAATATGATTTGGTCAAAAGCAAGATTTTTCGGTTTGTGGCTATGGCTTGTGCTGTTGGCATTTGTCCTATGGAATTATAATAATGTAGCTTTTGTTTGTACGTTTAAAAGATTGCATTGGAAACATTAAAATGCGGTCTCAGAGACATGTTATTTTAGTTTATACCTTTTATTCCACATGAGTGATTAATGTAGTAATTACATTACATTAATTAATTGATGAATCGTGTTTGAATTATATTTGTTAAAGTATTCATTGGCGAATTAATTGAGTTGTTTAATTAGTTAATGCATTTATTTTCACACGCATCTCTTTTCTCCCAGGATAGCTCTGTCAATGCACAATCAAACTTTTGGCATTGTATAGTTTCCATTTTGGTAGGTTCTCCTCTGTGTCTATATGCATCACTAATTTATTTTGAACAATTAATTTAGGAATCGCGTAATATATGAAGGCTTGCATAAGTGCATCGTGTCGAAGGATATCACTGGTCAACAAAAAAAAACATTTTTTATTGCCTGGACCTTTGCAGCTGTTTAAGACTAATTTCAGGGTGCTGATTCCAAATCTGATCTCAGATTTGCTCTGTCACATCTCATTTTTATGCTATCGGCATACCCCATTTTCATTGATTTTACCCGAAATTAACTCTGTCACTTATGATTGCAAGTTGTTGCGAGTCAGTGACTGCTTTAGTGTTAAAATATGGTGCTGTATTTTTAGGATAGTGTGTTTATAATATAATTTTATGTAGATATGCACATTTATTTAATATTTTTCTTCTGCAGTTTTTATTGAAAATGCAATATTTATATCTCAAAAACCTGATGTGATAGACAAAAACTCATGCCAGATTTGGAATCAGCACCCCAAAATTACCTTAAAACCGTTGGAATACCTTATGCCAGAAAAAGTGTGTTGACCAGTGTATTTAATCGGCTAATAAAAAAGCAGCACAGAAAATCGGGTCTCCTGAGATGGACCATACTTTCAGTACCAAATCCACTGATGCGGATAGGATGCCAAGAATCATCCAATATTTAAACAAACACTTTAAATAAATAATTGCCAGAGTAATATTCTTTTGTTTTAATATCAATGATGTGAAGAACGTTTGCATAAAATACAAATAAAGAGCAGTTTCAGCGATTAACATTTGTATGTATGTTGAACCGTTTTCGCACCGTATGTAGCCAACCGTGATAACCAGAGGTGCGGGAAAAGGACAATAAAATAATATCTATCTGCAAATTCATGCAGACAGAAATGCGATGTAACTATAATAAAAAAACATTTTTTATAGCTGGCAGCTGCTATATCACACACGTGACTATTATTTTTACATAAACATATACTGGACTGAGTTTAAATTAAATAAACCACTTTGCGATCCTCATCTCT